ACATTCTGCTCTTGCCCTGCCTACATCTGATGAGATTTATTACAAAAGATGAAAAATAAGTGAAAAAAATAATGACTGACATTTGTCATTCTTTTGACTGACATTTATGCAATTCTCTCCACATATGGAACAATTTGTGAAGTAAAAATATCTCCTGGTGTTTAAGTGTTGTCCTTGCATATATTCCTACATATTTGTTTAAGAAGACAAGGATGAAGGAATGCCTCCTGTTGTTTTAGGTGCAGAGATTGATCCTTACAGAGTGAGAGTTTATTTTATGGTCTTGAGCTAAACTCAACAAAGTTTTGCCTCCTGCTGGTATTAAACTGTGCCTCATTATAGAATCTGTTATTCTGGAGAAAATTATTACTCATGACCACCAATCCAGAAGTTTTTAATATTTTTTAAAAAAATGTTCAGACTCTACACAATTTTCCAGTGGAGGTATAAAACCCCTGTATAGTTAATTTGTACATACAATATATTTGCACCCCGTAGACAGTCCTTGTGACTCTTCAGAAAATAATGCATTAATTCCCCTCCATGATCCGTGGATAACAAGTTTATGTCCACTGCTTTGGCTATGACAACTGGAGAAATAACATACATGAATAACAGATAAGATGTAAAAACTTAATTTTGCTTGAATCGTTTGTATTTAAGAATGTTAAAATCCTTCCCATCTTTTAGAATAAACATTCTTCTCAAGTCAGCATGGTTTCCACAAGCTTTTCATTTGCACATGCAGACCTGTGAAGAGAAGAATGTAGTTTCATTTATCAAATTATTTTCTACAAATTATGATGAGCCATATAATTTATAAACACAATAAGAGCAAACAGCTCACTGTATCAAACCAATTAATTACCAGAAGCAGACTTAATAGTGTATCCTGTCAGAAAACAGTGTTTACATTTCCATTAAAACAAAAGAGTTATTCTTCCTACTTTAAAATCAGTGGCAACTCTGCTTTTGATTTTATTTGGAATTCCCTCTTGTGCATGCCACCATCCTCACAATGTTGTTGGTGGGATACCAAAGAGGCACTCTGTTTTCAAACTTGTAATACAAAATATGACGATCAAATTCTGTTCCTTCCATGTAAATATAAAAGGACTCAATGGAAGCCACTGAATTCTTAAGGGCTTACATGAGTGTTAGTGAAGATGGGATCTAGCCTAGGATATTTTCGACTATAGAAAGTGCATTCTTCCTTGCAGCTCTTGGATGATATTGGGGGGGGGGGGGGGCGGGGCGCGGGGAGGAGGGTGTATGTGTTTAATATGAATATTTGATTAACTAATTCACAATGTGCAATAGCTGCTATATGAACATTTGTTTAACTAATTCACAATGTGCAATAGCTGCTGAAGTATGTGAAAAATTCTCATGAGAGAATGATGGACGAAGTCAGAGTTATTGTGATCTTCTCTTGCCTAAGTCTTTGAGAAGCAGTTTATGCTTCTCCTAGCAATGTTCAGTATATCAGATACCACAGATAACATATTAGCTTTATAACAGCACATGGCTGTGGTACCAAGCACACATTAAAACTTCTGCAAGTCAGACGGAAATATCTTTGGTCCTTACAAACGTTTTCTAGGTCCATGCACGTTTTAAAGAATTTCCCTATTGTTGTTTGGTGTGATAACAGCTGCAGCTCTTCCTGCTCTCCCTTTCTGCTGTCAATTGTTCTGCATTTGGGAGCAAGTTTTAGGGAGTGGAGGCATGCCTCCTGCCACCCTGAGATTGCCCAGCATAAGAGCAAAAGAACAGTCTACTGCAGCAGAATGCTTCTCTTCCATCTACCTCCACTCTCCTACAATTCAGCTGTCAGTTAACTTCTCTAAGATTTTCATAATGGTTTTTTAGTCATTGTAATAGCTCTGTGACATAGGAAGAGCTTTTTACATATCGGTATCCTAAAAGCTCCTAGCAGTATCACTCCGCACTTAACATGAGGTCAGAAAGAAGATTTTAACCAGCCGAGGAGTAAGTTTTCCATTCACATATTTAAGGTGCAAAGAAGTACACAACACACTTTACTACACAGCTGCTATGAATCAGAGACCTACAACTCTAAATAGCAGCTGTTGTCTGTATGATGAAAATACATCCTTTATTTCCCCTTTAGACAGTAGACAAGTTATTTTCACTGTTTAATCAGTATGAATATAGTATCTGGACTTTCAAGCTTTCTTTAGCCTGTTGGTGTACTCACTGCAAATGTCAATCACATCAGATGAAACAGAAAAACTGTATTTTTTTCAAATCTGATTTTTTTTCCCTTTATTTGCATATCCTAAACAAACATTTTGGTTTGATGGCTCCAAAATTCCTCTTATATGTCCAGAAGGTCTATTTGTTCGAAAAGTTACCCTATTAAATTTTCAGTAGAGACAATGCTTCTTCTGTAGCCTTGGAGGACCTTTAGCACACAGCATATGTGTCAACCCACCTAGATCAGTTTTAAATGCTAAAGCAGCATCAAACTCCCATCCTCCATGGTACAGATGGTTCATGCTGACAAGTAGGAGATGTCTTTTTTGATGCTTATTGTCAGGATCTCTGTACATTTTATGACATTAAGATAGAGTACGTTCTTTCCACTTGAAGCATCCACCCATTTCCTAAACCATCATCCCACAAATATTTGTATAACCTACAGATGCATGACTTATTCCACCAATTGGAAACCCTCCACAAGCCCCACTTGATAGGAATTCCAGCCTAGGAGACTTAAGGGAGATTTCAATAAGGTTATATGTTGAGTCTTAAATTTCATAAACGTAATAACTGCATTTGCCTGAAATGAACCTTTTACAGAGAATGTTCTCAAGCACTTTGCAATATGACTTATTATTAATTGTACTATATAGCACAGACAGTTCCAGGCGATATTTACTACCATAGTAACTGCATTATAAAACAAAGATAAGACTCTGTACTTCATGAAAAAACATATGAAATGAAGAAAATTATAAATTTAGGAGAACAGGTTGGGTAATAGAACAGAAAAAATACCGAATATGTGTTTACTTACCACTCTGTATGCTTTTATTAATGAGCAGAAGCAATCAGAGAAAAATGCACTGGCTTACCAAAAATTATTCTCTTTAGGTAGGGTGTTATTGCGTGAATGACACTGTCCTACATACCATAAGCAATCTACTAATTTACATCATCTTGCAAGTGGGCACCTGTAACTCCTCATCAGCACTTTCCAGTGTTTAAGTAGGAAAGAAGACCTTTGTTTCTAGCTCTGCTAGTGAATTTTCAACACCAGAAAAATAATTCCAATTAGATCCACGAGTACTGTATTTGGGCAATATTGTGGGAGCACAATTCAAAGCTGTGCCTGAGCGCTGGAGGGTAAGAAATCACAGCTGTAATCCTCTTATAGTTTGGGAACTGGAGAGCTCTGAGTTCATAGCACCACTGAGGAAACAGTGCTTCCCTACCACAGCAAAATGAGCTGTGGTCAAACCCTTGGCCTTGCCCCTTTCATCATGCCTCACCCGTGGCTTCCAGGGACCTCCAGGACCTTCCAGGGACCTCCAGGTCCTTCCAGGAACCTCCACGAAACTCTGGGAACCTCTGGGACCTACTAGTAATCTCGAAGGACAATGCCTTCTATTGCTTGGGACAGGGCAGTTCACTAGTGGAGACTTTTAGTGTTTTCACCCATGAGAAGAAATGAGATACAGCCCTTGTTAGCTGTATATCTGACAAGAATTCATGAAGGTATAAACCTTTGCAGAACTGTCAGATTATAAGAGCTAACAGGCTCAACTATGGGAAATATTCATTTTAAAGCTAAGAGCTGACCACCAGTGCTTCATGAAGAGCTGTCTAGAAGGAATTGACAAAACAGCAGATTCCTAAAGAAGTATAACAACTCAATTCAGTATTTCATCACTGTACCTGAAGACATAAACTGTATTACTATGGCACTGAATAATCTTAGGAGTGAAATACAAATTCTGCTTTCATGTTTTCCTTTTTAATATTTGTTTTAATTTGATCCAGCTTCCTTCTTTTTGTTCTCAGTTTGGTAGCTCCCAGAAGACTTCATAAATACGCATTTACATTTAAAATTCAGTTAAAATTTCAAACGATGCAAGATACTACTTTAAAGTATGTAATCTGGTATGTGACAATATCTCTTCAAGCTTCACAGGTATTTTATTCAGCAGGAAAAATAAAATACACGAGGACTTGTCTTTTTGTGGAACATTTGACAGCTTGCATTGGTAGTGAAGAGGTAAAGACATTAAAAACTATCAGGAAGCTGATATTGAAAATGGTACATAATGTCAGTTTCTCTACATGTTATAAATCCAAGTTTAACTCTTTCTTTTGTCCGACTAACCTGCAGACAGTGTTTATTTTTACTGTGTGAAAAACTGAATACTGTATAAGTGCATCAACTTTTCATAAAAACTTTAGTAAAAAACCATCATGGGCTTATCAAATCACATACTGCAACTGAATAGAACATCTTTTCAAATATGCCTGAAATTAAACATATTAGTAACATAGCTGGCATTTAGTCAGTTCTTGATTACCTAAAGCATGGGAGGTAAGACTTAGAGGAGTACCTATTATTCTTTGGGAAAATTACTAATATTTTCGCTTAAAAGTAATATATTTTGATACTTGTCAGTAGACTGCTAAGATTCCAGGATTTCTGTAGTGGTGAAAGTCAATGCTCTGTGCTGGTTTCTGTTCCAGTGGCTGGCACATTGACAATCCTCTTGAAATACTGAATGTAACGAATTGTACACAGAGTTTTCAAGGAAATATTTGACAAAAATTGTGTCCAAACTGGTGAAAATTTCCTCAAGAGTTCCCTGATACATGGGACAACTTCAGAAAAAACTCACTTGCCAGAAAAGATGTTTGTAGTTTGTGTTTTCAATGACTGCAGCTATGCGCTTGTTCAAACTTCAATTAGCTGTTACTTTCTTCCTTAATCCATGATCTATATCTCCTTTTAGGATTGGTGGAGCTGTGCCAACAGTCTTCTCTTATTTTTCGGAAGTGCTTGCTCGTGAGAAACGAGGTGAACACCTGAGTTGGCTTTGTATGTTTTGGATGATTGGCGGCATCTATGCTTCTGCAATGGCTTGGGCAATAATTCCTCATTATGGTAAGAAAAACATCTCCTTGTGATTCGTGGCTCTTCTAATATGAAAATAAACCTTTTGAAATATAGCTTAAAAAGGGGACTTCATGTCTGTTCTCAAGACACTGACCCCACTGTTAAGAAAAATACTTATTCATTTTAGTGTAAATAATGAGAATAGGTTGACATCCTAAATAACAAACAATATTAAAAGCTGTGAAAATTAGCTAATATCCATATTTAGTCAGATTCTTTAAATTACTGAAAATCTGGACATGTGAAAATATAATTGCTTGTTGAATCTGGAGAAAGTAGGTGATGTGAAGAATTGCATAAGAGAAAATAAATTTTAAATTCCTGGATGTCAAATTTGTGCTCATTTTGTTTGTTTGATACAGAGATAAAATGTCAGTTATACATTCTTGGGAAAGAAGAGCAAGGACTATCTTAATGTTTGCAGTGCTAGTTCTGAATATAAAGCTGTGCTGAACGTTTCATTCTTAGTAGATCATTTTAGTAGTGTAGAAATAGAGACATTGAACAGAGTGCACTTAAATTCTGTAGGGGTGAACAAGGGCAAATAAAACAGAAAGCTTGCAGTGGCTGAAGTTATATACACATGGAATATAGGCCACTTTGTGAAAGAGCTCTTTACTTCCCTGAAATGGTTAAACATTATGTGGATGAACAGATTCAGTTCTTAGCCTCTTGGGCTTGCCTTTCAGAGGAGTTAAGTGCTCACGGGTCTCCAGGGTTGCTGACTGCTCAGGGGTTCTTAAAAATCAGCCTCTGCAAGCACTTCTCCCTGGCACTCCCCAAGACAAGTAAAGCAGTATTGTGAGTTATTTGGCATCCAAAGCTGCTTTCTTCAGCCAAGCGATGAGGTTTATCACAGTTGGACTGTGTAAGAGAGGACAATCTCATAAGGTTTGCTCAAAGTGATTGAAACATTTAGCAAGTGGTAATGTCCAGAAATAAATTATAATCATGCAGACTAATCAAATATCTGGACTGATGCATTAAAATTAATTTTATAGTCCAGTACACATAACCTGAATCTGTCTTCAACCTTGCCTTTTGGCTTTGAATTTCTGGAATCAAGGAGAGAAATTTTTGCTTACAAAGCACAATCTGAATAATTTATTTTTTTTTTTTCCAATGAGTAAATTACTCTGGATGCCAAGTGCTTTTTGCTTTCCTGTGGATTTTTATTGTCTTTATTTTTCAGTGGAAAATGCTAATATTATGACAGACTGCTTTACACAGACTGGTTTTCATAGGTTGTCTAATTTCATTGTAGATTTTATAAATAACTCAATAAACTTTACTGAGGTGGTTTTAAAACATCATATGGCAGTATATTTCAATGAAAAATAATGCACTTCCTCATACCAAAGCAGTGGCACCAGAGTAAAAAATTTTCTTCTTTCTTTAACAGTGGGAGGATATCAGCAAAAAAACGCCATGCTGCACTGATTTTTTTTGGTGTGTGTTCTCCTGCAAAAATATTTATTAAATCATCTAAGACAAAAGGATATAAAAAACAATTTTAAAAAAACAATGTTAACCATACAAATCACTTTCCTTACAGTATATTAAGAGAAGCTGTAAAAGCTAAAAAGAGGGCAAAAATCAAGCTACAAACAACAGAAACAATTCTTTCTCACAAGAAAATAAGTGGACACATCATTTTGGCAAAATGAAACAGAATTTATTTATAGATCTTGATGAGACCCTAAACTTGTCTTTTTTTTAAAATCAAACTTTTCCCCTACATTGTGAAGTTTAAAACCTGTGTCTTTATTCTTAGTACAAATGTGGAATTGCCCCGGCTCAGGGCGAGGGCTCAGGGTGAGGGACAAACTCCTTCATTGTCATGATACTGTGCCAAGTTCTCAGGCATTGCCAAGGGCTCCCAGGGCAAACCCTGCTCTGGCACTCAGCAGAGTATATGGTCACACATTGCTGTACCTTCCTGGAAAAACTCCAAGTCAGGTGAATACCAGCATAGATCTCCACAGCATTTATATCACGTGCATCCATGAGGAGGCTTTTGTAGTGGTATTTTCTCTTTTACAATTCCTACATGGTTTCCATGGAATTATTTTTCCAGAATCAAGCAAAGATACAGATTTTTCTCCAAGTTACTTCCAGTCCTTCTCATCATTCACATCTCCACTGACCAGAAAGCAAAACATAATTATAAACAAAGCAGCCCAAGCACTTACAAGCCTTGTTTATACAGTGCATAGGATTTCTGAGCTCTCTGTTTCACACATGAGGAGTAAACAGGATTGATTTTTCTCAGCTGAACTCAGAAGTTACTCAAAGTCAGTGAATGAAGTTGCATTTGTTGAAAAGCAATAAACTACCATTGAGCATAGTGAAATTATTCTTAAACGAATAGAAAAATAACAGGTCAACAGAGTAAAATAATTTCATAGATTATTTTCCCTCTCTCTTTTACAAATGTATTCATTTCATTTGCACTGCCTCTTATATAAGCCACTTTAAAAAGTCCTAGATTCACAACTAATATACATTATCTAGTCCAAGGCAGTCAGTGAAGCTATCTGTACAAGTTTACCAGCTGAACATTTAGCATCTTTCTGTGAGAAAACAAAGATTACATTCTCTACATGTAGCAGTTTATCTCTGTTTCTGCTGAGCACCACAAGAGTGTCTGAAACCTGAGTAATACTCTGAAATACAAAATAAAGAGAAGCTAACAGTCATCTTGACATCAGCATGTTATTAAGAGGGGAATCAGCTCAATGTAATGCTGCAATGACCACATACAGAAAGACTAGTGTCATCCAGAAGACAAGCTTCCTTGTCTCAGGGCTTCTTGAATTCTATAGCTGTTGGCTTTGGTTTAAAATTTGAAAATGCATGTAGACGTGTTCAGTGTCTCCTAAAAGCTATTAGAATAAACATCTGTAGATAAATGCTTCTAATTGCTGACAATTAAGAAAGACCCAGATTACGCTGCTACAAAGACATTGCTTTATATATTACTTTTAGCAGGCTGCATAGGAAGGATAATTGCCATTTTATAAATAATTTTGCAAACTCAACTTTAAACTTAAAATCATGTTTCAAGTTAGGTTATTCAAGGACTGTCAAATGCATCAAATGTGTATTACAATATTCTTGAAAATGTTCATTTTTCAAATTATGAAGAGTGAGAAATTACATTTCAGTTTAAAATCCAAATAGTGATATATTACCATTTTGCTACACCAAGTTTATGTGTTAGTCTGAGGATAAGAATCAAAAAGAATTATATAAGTTGTTCTAGGCATTTTACCTCTTTAATTAAAACAACAGAAGAAAGTTATAAAATTATCAGTTCTACCAAAATAATAAATATTGCCTGCCATACACATGTATTATTTTTAAAATAAGTCTTCATTTCTGTTGTACCATATCTCCAAACTAAAAGTCAGAGGAAGCTGGATAAAGATTTCAATGTATTTAACCTATCAATTTTGGTATTTCATGTAGTTTTATATTTTATATATATGATGTATATAAGTCTTTTCTGGTTTCATAAGCTATATAAAAACCTCCCAAAACTTGAAACGTTCCCGAGAGTATTTTGCTTAATGAAAAACAAATATTGACCTCATTGATTTATAAATGTTATTCCTGAACAAGAAGGGGAATATGTGGCCAAAAAGAAATTAGATTGCAAAGCAGAGAGCAGGATGGGGCAGATTCCAGGCTGCTACAGCATAAGCTGCACTTGAAATATGAAGCTTTCCTCACACTGTAACCCTCCACTTCTGGTATTTACCAGAGTAGAGAGGAGATAACAGTGTCAAATGACTTTACTGAACAATTAGAATTTTACTGGAGAGCCATTTTTTTTTTCTGATTTTTTTTTTTTAAGAGAATAACTTTTTTACAGTAACACAGAAGTTAAAAATGCAGACATAGAAGTGTCCAAACAATGGACTCACGCTTGACTGGCAAAACACTGTATTTAAAAGATTAATGGTAACTTCTCTTTTTAGAATGTTTAATTGTGTCTCTTATTGGAAGTTTTGTATTCTTTTCCTAGTTTGTAAAATATATGTTCCTACTTTCCTCTGAAGGTCTTTGCCTTTTAGTTTTCTTCTGCCAATATTCTTATATGAGTTTAAATGGCAGAAACTGGGATTTAGTTTACGTAGGAAAGAAGTTAAGTTTTAAACACAGATGTAACAAAGTACTAATACAAACTACAAAATGCAGTTACAGAATCTCCATCACTGGAGGGCTCTAAGGGCACATCAAACCACAGCCTGTTCTCAATACCTCAATAAGACCATGTTAATTTCACCAAACCTACTACTGGAAACCTGTTTCCCATTCTTAATTCTATTTTCCGTAAGTAGATAAGTTTTTTCAGAGACACAGAAGCCCATAAATTAATTCTATTTCTAACTGTAATTGTGATTAGAATGGAATAATCTGCTTTACTTTTGAGTAAGCAACTTGCAGAGTGGCCTGAAAAACAATTCTCAGTTTGTGGCAGAAGATCGTTGAGGTGAAGCAGATAAATTCACCTGAGGAAGTAAACTTTACTGGCAGTCAAAAAGATGTTTTTATCACATTTTTTAGGTGGCCCAAGAGTAGTTTCTGTAGTATTTTCTATTGTCATGTTTGCTTTGCTCTTGTATCATCCAGTTGGAGATAAAAACAGTAAAAGTACCTTCAAAACAGCAATAAAATCCCATTTTGTATGAAACCACTATGAACTATTTCACAGTAAAAAAGATGAGGTAAGCAGAGTTGCATGCAGCAACTATGTAGATGAGGAGATTAAGATCGACTGGCTCTCTGTTCAACAAAGAGCATGTACTGAACCAGGTGGTGTTAATGGAGGAGTTAGTCTCTCAGCCTGCAGCAGACTAAACTGAGAACATGATAGACTAAGACTGTTCAGTGGCAGTGAAGTCAGAAAAAAGTTTTAAGTCCCTTATTCTATGTTTCTTTGTTAGTGCCATGAATTTCTCAGTGCCACAGTGCAGCAGCAG